TTTAAAGTGTTCAGAAGAAAGAGTGAAGTAAATATCAAGCAGCAAAAGTAATTGATCAGCAAGGAACAGGCTTCTTGGTCCTAAATTTCATCATTGAACCCAGAGTTGTGAATGATACCATCTGAATGAATGAAAGTCAGGACAGATTTTCTACAAGAAATTTTTTTCTACAAGAAAAGATTTTCTAAAAACCCTAGGAGCAATTCCGTTTGTAGGCCAGCCTGGATATATTCCAGGGACTCTTATTTGCGTCTCATTATTCTTGGAGTTATACAATGTAACCAGAAGTTAGTACACTGAGGTATGAATGCAATTATCATACTTTTTGTGACTCTTTGCAGGTTGACAGCCTGGTCCAAGTATATTCCCAAACTCTGAATTCTTGAGCCTGAATAGAGGTTAAGTTCCTAGAAATCTTAGGGATCTGTGTTAATAAGCAGGTAGAATAACTCTATGGCTTATCTTTCATGTGTCCTTTGATTGACTTAAACAGATTAAATTTCTTCCAACAATGAGTCTGATTCACAAACTTAGTAACTATGTCATTAAATTTTAAACTATATTTTTATAAAATCTTTGCCTTAAAAAACAGTTTGCCTGAAATAGATCCCAGAATACTGCTTACCATGCAATAAGTCCTCAGAAAATATTTTATAAAGATTGAATAACTAGTAAAATTGTAAAATGTGATCATTCTTGTTCAATTTTATCTGAGAACGTAAATACCAAGAATAGTCCTATAGGTGCTACACTGCCGATAAAGGACGTGCTAAGAACCTTACAAAGTTGTTTTTTCAAATTTTGGCCTATCATCTGCTTCCAAAGTTTAAGAGCTTTATGAGTGTTCAGAGATTAGGAAGTAAGACTTTATATAAAGAGCGTTGTCACTGTGTGCTTCACATTTCCCCACATCTTTCTGTGGCGAAAAGCAAAACTTCTTTAACTGGGCTAGAACGCTGACATATGAAAAAGCGCCCTCTGGGAGTTGCAGGATGCAGAGACTGACACTATCAGTAAGAGGCTGTGTGGTTGGAACAACAGACAACCGTAGAGCAAAAGTGGAAGTGACAGAGTAAGCAGCACTTCCAGCAATACTGATGCTGAGGCAAGGTTTCCCTTGGGCCAAGTGTGGATCTCATGAGAAGAAGCCACCCATAAACTGCCCACATATGAAACTCACCTAAGTGGGCTTCCTGCTCCAGGCAAGTCAATCTCCATGGAAAGAAGCTGCAGATACAGCATAAAAGCAGAAAGTGGGACATGGGGAGTTGTGTGGTATGAGGTAGAGCGATTTGTAGGCAGGGTTGTCAAAGCAGACGTTGCACACATCAGACAACCACAGGCAGAGAGGAATTTCTGAGAAAACCCACAGAAGCTGTCCAAAAGAAAAAGAGCACTTGGAATGTCAATGTATCATAAATTAAGACTGTTCAGGTTAGTAACACTTTTTCCATATGTTTATCTTTATTCTCTTTATTTCACCTTCCCCCATTCCTGGGGACAAGGGTTGGGGGCTAGAAAGAAATATTAGAGGGGAAAGGAGCTTGCGAAGAGCCCTTTAAACTCTCTGGCTTCCTTACTGGCCCCAAACCTTAAGCAGACCTAACCCAATCTGGGGGAGGGAAGAAGTATTAAATTAAAGTTGGACTTTAGGTCTTAGAATGAATTGGACGTTTAAACTATCTTAAATAGAGAAGATAATATTTATTGTCTGGGAGAGAATAAAAAGTTGTGGGAATTATCTAAAAAAATGTGGAAAGAATTAATTAAGTCTATAATAGGTAGGAGCATCTTTGAGAAAGAATATTGTTATATTGTCCTTTCACACAGTTTGATCCTACTCGTGCAATTAACTAGTTATCTACCCATTGGATTTGTTTAGTCTTGTCTAAGCACTTTAAGTGCTTGACTGGCTCCACACATAAGTCTAACAAGAAATTTATTTCTGTGAACTTTGTAGAATTTTTCTGTAAATAATGTACAATGTGGCAATTCAGATTCTTTTAAACCTTTCAATGGTACTGTGAAAAAGAACATTTTTCTTACAAATCTAGAGGATAAATAAGAAGAATTATAGAAATTGTACATTCTAATTAGCTTGCAAACCAAATCCTACAGATTTCCTAATGTGTTAATTTCTAATTTAAATATAAAAAGCCAATTATCCCAATGAATAAAAAAAAAAATCATTTGTGGAAGTAACAGAAACTTCTTACCATGCTACGAATTTGGTTTATTTTGTCATTTCTACACTAACTTCTGAGAGATTTGACAACAGGCCTCTGGGATGTAGGAGCTACTTACATTCAGCATGATTCTTTGCGAGCTACAGATGGACTTCTCCGGTCCTTTTATATCATTAAGTTCTGTGTCTCTGTCAACAGACACCACTCCAGTGGCTGGGGACAATATACAGACTGCTATCCATTCCATGTTTCTTTTCTCTTACTCTGTCAAGTTAATTGTATAAGACGTTTGGCTCATGTAATGCCCCAGATTGTCATTGCTAAGGGATCTGAGCTCTTGTTAGTGTTATTATAGGGTTGGCCCAGCATTCTATTTACCAGGACTATCAGGAAAAGGGGAACTAGAAGATGCTGCTGTAAATCTCCTGGGCTCAAGGCATAATCCTCCTTACCACGCTGTGCAGCAGTAAGTCCATTTCAGCCTGCTCAGTGGTCCTATTCTCTGCTGGTTGCTTCAGTGACTAAGGAGACAAAGGTGTAAAGAGGATGTCTCAGCTTCCAATTCATCAGGATAATGATCATGTTACTTATTAGAAGCCTTTTCTTAGGCATAAAATCTCTAAAAACAACAAAACCAAGATCTTGGATAAAGGAAGCAATTTTCTTCAAGTAGATTATCAAGTGTAGTCGTGGGGGCCACTCCAAATTTAAATCCTAACTCCATGCTCTGCTTCACACACATGTACGTTGTGGCTATGGCAGAGGCAACATTTATTGGAAAGGTAAATACCACATCTTGGAGAAACCAATCCCATACCTGCAAGGTGTTTTATACCAGCCGTTGTCACTCGTGTGCCTTCAGAAAGTTATTTCAGTATCCTGCTTAGCCACTTATTTATGGGTAATCGAAGTTACTTCCATAGGCATAAGCCGATAGTCAATCTTTACTTTCTGTAAAATGTCAAATACAATATTGTGTGGGAAACCATGACAATGGATGAGACTTTTTGTAACTCTATAAATATTGATGCTAACAGAAAGAAGCACTGTAGGAAAAGTCAAATCTATTTCTAAAATATGTCATTATTTCTATGAAGACAGCATCATCCAGACTGTAATGGAAGTGGCTTAAGTAGTAGATGTGCTATCAGGTGGTTGGCTGGTCTCCCTAGGAAAATGTGCTCTACTTTAGTCTCTGCTCTTGACAGGTTTGGTAATTCAGCAGAGGTCGAAGGAAAATCAGTCTTGGTAAGAAAATACCATATTATTCAACAGCTGATTAGCTTCCATCTTTACTGTCCTGGACAGTTTTACAGGTGCCTATTTAACAAGCTGCATGGTGCCTGGCAAAAGAGGCTGACAGTCACCGGACAGGTTACTTTGTCCACCCGATTACTGATAAATACACCAAAAACTTGAAGACCCATTGTGGGAAGATGTGTAACAGGTATGCAATAACCAAAGTAATGCTGCTGTATCTGTAATAATATTGAATATATAGTCATTAAATCACTACCAAATCAAAAAAGGATGATTGTGCAGATGTCATTAGTTTGCCCCTCCAGTTCTGCTGCCCACTTTCTATACTTTACTCTTTGTCCCAGGAGGCTCACCTGTGGGGACAACCTTGCCCTCTGGCTCCTACTTGCCTTTGGCCAGTTGGTACTGAGCAGGGGAGTGGAGGAATGAGACGGGATCAGGGCTGGTGGCCCTGTGCTACTGTCCGCGAGGCCAGGACTGGTCGTGCTCCTTTGAGGAGAGGACCCCAGCTCTATTCACTGTCTCTCCTCAGTCTCCAGCCACATCGGTGAAGTCTATGGGGCAGAGGCTGAAAGCTTTCGGCCTCCACTCTAGATTTGCTACAATAGTCAGAAATTTAGAGTTTATTTGACAAAATTTTAAACTATTTTATCTCAATGTATAAGATTGATATTTCCAGAACTGTATTATTCTTTTTAGTTTGAGTTCAAAGGAAATTTTTAGAGCAATAGAAAAGTTCTAAAACTGGATTTTGGAGAGGATTCAAAAGTTCCATAAATTTGCTAAAAATCATCCAATCATACATATATTTATAGTGGGTGAATTTTATGGTATATAAATTAGGCTTCACTAAAGCTGAGAGTAAAAAAAAATCTCAAATTTCTTTCCTGCCTCATTGATATCGAACATCTCCTTTATACCAGAAAAGGGTCATTGGAAGTATGTTTTTCCCTTAAATTATGCCCCGATTTTATTTTATTTTTTGTACTTAGGATGAATCTTAGAGTGCCAAAAAATTGCCAATATTTCTTTTCCTTTTCCAAATTATATTATTAAATTATTAACACAATTTATAACCAATGCTGTTTTAGGATAAAAAATAATTTAATTATAAAGCAATTGCAAGTTATTATATTAAATTAAATATTGATATATTAGGGAGTACAATCCAAAATTCACATAAATATTAAGGCTAAACCAAAAGGCAGTTACATATTCTTTATCTTATCTCTAAAAAGGGCACAATTTCCATTTCCCTACTTTAGGTGTATATCAGGAAAATTTTTTTAAAGCACCAAGTAAAATATTAAATTCAATATGTGGTGGAGAACTGAGAAATTACATGTTATCTAGGTCATGGAAAATAAACTTTAAGAAGAAAACATTTCCTCTGAGGTTTTCACAAATATTAAAGTGTGAACGCTTGTATGTACCCCGAAAGGAGAATTTGGAGAGAATCTTTGGTTAGCAGCAGGGTTTTTAGTCTTTTCTTGTGACATATCATACTTAATAAAACAAAGCATACACGTGCATACGCACTCACTCACGCTGAAGATGCAAGATGAAGAAAGATACATGACATTGAACGTGCAGTCCAGGAAGAGAAGCTCCATCCAAACGTCCCAACTTCCATTTGAAGGTATGTCATTCAGTTTTGTTTTTCAACTGGTGGAGCTGCCCAGTCTCTCTGTCTCTCTCTCCTTCCCTCTCTTTAGATAACCAGGAAGAGAAGCTCCATCCAAACGTCCCAACTTCCATTTGAAGGTATGTCATTCAGTTTTGCTTTTCAACTGGTGGAGCTGCCCAGTCTCTCTGTCTCTCTCTCCTTCCCTCTCTTTAGATAACAGTACTGATTACAAAATAACAGCCACTGTAACCATTTAGTAAACACCATGGCAGGCACTGTGCAGAGGGCTTTATCTTTCCTCTTTCGTTTAATCTTACAAAATTCCTCTGAGATAGTCTCTTTCTCTCTTCTGTCTCTCTCATTTATCACCGTGGCACTACCATCTACTTGCTTTTAAAGTAATATTTTGTGTGGTATAATTTTCTAAGGATATTCTGAGGAAATACACATAATTAAAATTAATAATATAAAATCAATTAATATTTGCTGCCAGTTATTACCATCCTATCATTCATTACCTATCATTAAATATGGCATTTTTAACTGTTAATTTTTAGTTTAATTTGTCAAAATCTTTAAAATAAGTTCTTCATCAGACTGACTCAAAATACAGTTTTTTGATGAACAAAAACAAACATTTTATTGAGTGCTTCAAGCATACCCTTCACACGTGATGTGAATCCATCCTGCCACCTTAACATGATGTGGTGAAAAGATCTCAGTGGAATGAAAGATATTAATAATCCTAGTTATAGAGAGAGACTGTTTGTCCTGGCCTATGTCTTTCTAAGCATTTCTCTTTTGATCTTATTTCTGAATTTTTGTTGAGGTAGTACTCTTAAGAATACACTTCCCAACTTTCCCGCCTATAAAAATCTTACTTATCTTTCGAGTCCTTCCTCAAGTATCATCCACATCATTAAAAAATCCATTAATTTCCTCAGAGAAATATTCGTTCAAACTGTTGCCATCCCTTCCTGTGGCCTTCTGTTATAGCACCCACAGCACCGACTCATCTTAGAGTTACATGGAGCCTATTTATACAAGAAGTATTGCTGCTTTCATGTGCATTTTTACAGATCCCCACTTTTTAAAAGTCTCTCATTCATTTCCTACACTCAATTTTCATTTCGTTTTGGAAAACAGAGATATTAGAGCTGAAAGGCCACAAAAATGTAGTGACTTTGTGCAGATTTTTTTCACACTCAGTTTGTAGATGTCTCTCTGAAGCCAACATGTGGAGACATGCAGTTTCCAGATATTTAAGTGGACATGCTCATATGCATGCCTTGTATCTTTTGCTAATATTTAGTGAAGCTTGGGGTGAGTAAGACATAATCCATGTGAGTTGGATTGAGAGTTTGAACCTTGTGATTATAAGTAGAGTTTTACTTAATTTTGCAATTGTGTGTTTGTATATATTTTCTCATGTTGATAATCTTGGTTGCTAATGATAGACATACATAATTGTGTGCTCTCTCTTTGTCTCTCTATATATGTAAAAGTGTCAGAATCACTATGGAAATAGTATTGTGCAATAATATATATTGTGTAATAATATATATATATATTGTGTAATAATATATATATATATTATTACAGCGCTAGAGTGTCGTAGATTACTTCCTAATTTGAGAATTAACTTAGGAAGAATTTATCTTTTTTTTTTTGACATTTATCCTTCTTATCCAAGCACGTGGTTGAATCTCCATTTGTTCAAGTCTGCATTTTATGTTATTCAGTTTTCAGTTTGTTTTCTTCATATCACTTTGGGGCATTCGTTAAATTTGTGTGGTTTTCTTTGTGTTTGTTTTCGTTTCATTAATTATTCATAAATAATACCTTCCTTTCATCTATTTTTTAAGTGGTTATTGGATATATGAGAGTACATCAAAAAGTTCATAAAAAATGGAAATAAAAGATAATATGAATCCTTCCATGAAGTTTAGGAAGTACCTTCATATAAAGAAATTAATTTTAGTATGCTAATGTTATAACTGCAGTTATCAATTATTTTACTATTTGTGGGATTATGGTATTTTTTTTCTGATTAACTCTTGGTTTTGCCAAATATACACTTACGTTATCTTCAAATAACTTTAACTGTTCTTTTCTAAAGTTTCTACGTATAATTAAGTTATCTTGTCTGATTGTATTAGGTAATACCTTCTAAACAATATTAAAGAGTAATGAAGATTTGAGATATTTTTATTTTTTTCTAGACTTTTGTAGAAAATCTCTGTATTTCTCAATTAAGATATAGTTTTATTAGACATAAAACTATTGTGTTAAACAAGTATCCATTAATTCCTGTTTTGTTAAAACATAACTTTCAAATTTTATCTATTTAATTTTTATATCTGTTGGATAATAATGTCTTTCCCTAGAAATTTTAATATGATATTAATGGATTTACTACTAGTATAAACTTAAAATGGTTATGATATATTTTGGTTACTAGCAGTATAATTAACATTTTTGTATGGACATTCATAAGAGTAATTGATTTTACTTTTTAAAATTTTTGTTTAGTTATTTTTATTTTTTGGTGGTTAAAGGCTAGTGTTTTTACCTTTTAAGTTAAATTATACAACTTTCTTATAGGAGGAAACACAGTATAATAAAAATGTTATTTTCTTCATAACTTTTTTATATTCAAAATATGCAGAGTATTTATTTATTTCTTAGATGTTTTTAACATTTATTTGTATATATTTGTGGGGCACAGTGTATTGCTTCAACACATGAGTATACTGCATATATTTGATTCATTTAGGATAGAAAGCATCTATCATCCTTAGATATCGATAGCATAGTTTTGTACCCAGTAGTCCACTATTTTTCCTCCTACCCCATCTTCCCCCCCTGCCTCGGGTAACCATTATTCTGCTCTCTACTTCTATGAGAACCACTTAAAAAAATTTTTTTTTATATTCCACACATGAGTGATATGCGACATTTGTCTTTTTGTACCTGATTTACTTCACTTAACACGATGGTTTCTAGTTTCACCCACACTGCTGCAAATGATAGGATAT